TGTCAACGCCACATATATGAGCGCTCTGTCAACGCCACATATATGAGCGTCCTGTCAACGCCACATATATGAGCGTCCTGTCAACGCCACATATGTGAGCGCCCTGTCAACGCCACATATATGAGCGCCCTGTCAACGTCACATATGGGCGTTCTGTCAACGCCACATATATAAGCGCCGCCCTGTCAACGCCATTCAACGCCACATATGGGCGCTCTGTCAACGCAACATATGGGCGCTCTGTCAACGCCACATGGGCGCTCTGTCAACGCCACATATGGGCGCTCTGTGCTCCATGCATATCTTGTCTTTTTTTTCCAAGCTGTTAGCCTTCCTTTTCCAAATCAATGTGTTATGTGAGAGACTTCTTGGATAGTTATGCTTCATTTTATGCTAATATTAAATACGCTTACATCTCTTTCGTCAATCCTAATTTTGATCACCTCGTTCCTGGTGCATTCTCTATGACTTCAATTAATGTCTATTGCTGAATTCGCATCCACTGAATTCGTCCCCGTCGCATTTCCTCCAATGTTCACCAAATGTGAATCATTAGGCGTCATTTATACGCATACGATAAGCTATGATTGACTCGCTTTTGAAAGGAGAATATGACTAACGCAATCGCACATGCCTTGTTCAATTTTTTTACCCTACACAAAGGTACCTACGCTCTGAGAATTATATGGGTCATATTGTCCAAATAGTGACACACTTTTTTACCCGCCGCACGGGCAGAAAGCGAACGTTGCGGGGAGACACCCTTTTGCCGGGTCAAACAAGATTATGATAGCCTACACAACGGCAAAAAGTGCATCACAAATTGAACAAATCTCACTCATTTTTCCTGGTGTACCCTGTTTTGATGTGAACAAGCGAACGCAAGTGTTCTGGCCACACGTACGTCTGAATGTCATGTCATTTGAATGTCATGATGAAAAGATGAACACTCTGTGCTCTGTATAGACCTCACAGCAGGCCACACGTGTGTGAACGTTCTCCCAATGGGACTTTTGTTATGTTTTTTCCACTGGTCCGGAATTTTGTTATGTTTTTTCCACTGGTCCGGAATTTTGTTCTGTATTTTCCACTGGTCCGGAATTTTGTTCTGTATTTTCCACTGGTCCGGAATTTTGTTCTGTATTTTCCACTGGTCCGGAATTTTGTTATGTATTTCCCACTGGTCCGGAATTTTGTTATGTATTTTCCAAATGTCCGGAATTTTGTTATGTTTTTTCCACTGGTCCGGAATTTTGTTATGTATTTTCCACTGGTCCGGAATTTTGTTATGTATTTCCCACTGGTCCGGAATTTTGTTATGTATTTTCCAAATGTCCGGAATTTTGTTATGTTTTTTCCACTGGTCCGGAATTTTGTTATGTATTTTCCAAATGTCCGGAATTTTGTTATACATTTTCCACTGGTCCGGAATTGGGTCCAAATGTAAGCCTATTATAAGCCTCCCTGAGGCTGAGGCTCGCCTGTAGAATGCTTTCAATGATACGTTAGATTTCGTATCAACTGAATAAAGACTATTGACAAAGAAATATTATATATTCAACTGTTAGCTCATAAATATTCGGTGGATAAACGATCGTAATTAGAGCGGGGCGGCCATTTTATCGCGGTGAGTAATAACAGATGACAAGCCAGGCTTTGAATGCGAATGTATTTACACGGCGCACCCAAATACACGACAACATTTATGTGTGCTTTGGATAAAATAATTTCAGACAAATATACTAATGGGGATGTTCAAAGACCAATGGCGGGCCTATAATCGCTTATTATATACTGCCTATAATTTTTTTTATTGTAAATAAATAAATGTGTGTGTAAGACTGAAACTTTAGTTTTTGTTATCTTGATCTACCGTTGATGCATATCAAGAGAAAAGAACATATTGTGGCGTCTTTTAAAGTTATTTATCAATACTATATTCAACGAGTCAATTGACTCGTATACGGTATATGTATGTGTTAATAAACACTTATATACCGTATATAAACACTCGCTCATGGTTTTGATGAAAGTATCATTTCTGATCATCAAATATTTTCGTGTCAATCCATAATTTTGTTCATTATATCGTTTATATGCAAATTTGAGTTGTTGACAAGTACTTTGTATCCCGCATTGCTCGTTCCCACGGTCACCGAGCTCGCAACTACCGCGTGCCAATTTACCTAATTGCTCTGTAACAGCCCAATTATTCTGCAAATTTCCCACCATTTCACAATTTTGTTCAGGACACATGGACCATTTTTGCCTTTCAAATTTCGCACCATTTCACGATTTCAATTATAGGACACAACCATTATTTATGGCAATTTTATATTTTGAGGCATTATTCTTACAGTGTAACCGTTTTTGCTGGTAAGCTGTTGGAATCTTATCACTCCCGATTACTTCGAGTAATAATTTAATACATTCTTGTATGAAATGTCGTTTGTGTTAAGCAGCAAATGTGTACGATGTGGCCTCACATCCCCGGAACCCGCATTATCCGCAACCTTGTGCATAATGTAATGCGCAACTTATTTATAATCATCAAAATGGTGTGTCAATGATTATATTTGCTATTATCATTTCAGAAATTTCGTTAGCCACTAATAAGTCGCTGTGTTCAAAAATAAATTTAAATAAATTTCAACCACGCAGTAGAGATTACTTCAACCTCCCACCCCCCTGACGCTCCCCACCTCCTCCCCAACACTCGTAGCCCCCCTAACACCCCCCAACACACACAGGTGTTCACGCGTCCCCCCTGCAACACGTGCGTCAGCAACTGCGTGTCAGTGTCCCTGCAGGTGTCTCGTGCAGCGGTGTTAATTTTTGGTGTCGGGAAATGTAGACAAAGAGATTGCTACAGTAAAATGAAAATAATCACCTTAAATGTCTTCAATAAATTTCAACTTTTATCAAGCAAATGGAGAGGCAAAAAAATTAAGAGTTGTGTTAAAGATAATGACGTTTTCGGTTTTGAAACACAAGATGTTATATTGAGTGGGCTTCATATAAGGTTATGAACTTATTGTTGGAGCTGTGCAGAAAAACAAGACTCATTCTCTGTGAAAATGTATATTGTTGGGGACTTTAATCTAACGTAATCGTAATTTAAAACCCGTTATCGCCCTTAAAATAAATTACTTTACCGAACAAGGGATGTTTAATTAATAAGAAGTTTGAAATTAATATAATTAACATAATAATATAGAAATACAAAAGCAACTAGTCTTCCAAATCTGACAAACCTAAAAACTTTAACCAAAAAAATGTATCCACAAATCCAAAAAATCCATACATTGAGGCATCCTGAAATATAATCGAAATAGCACTCATTAAACAAATAACCAAAAAAATAACCTAACCTAAATATGAAAATATGAAGAAATTGACACTTATAAATAATCAATATAACACGACTCTTATACACTCTAAAATTAAACATTCACAAATGTAATCACTATTTTTATAAGTTAGCAATAAACATTGACAATTGAAATGCACCACTGCTGGAGGTCACATCAAAGGTGATAAAAAACTGGAAAAGACAAACAAAAATCCTAAAAACCTAAATATTACTGCTTATAAATTGTTCGCCTAACCTATATCTTATACAAAACTAATGTGTGATATCGACGTGCTGGAAACTATCCATCAACTAAAATACAGTTGCATTAAAAATTCTAGTGGAAAATACCGGAAATATTAATTTATTGGCCTTCGGTCATCTGAATGAAGTGTCAACAGATGCTTATTACGGAACATGAGATTTACGCATACAAATTTTCCGTTCACATGCAAAGGCTTTCAATGTTAAACAATTTCTATTTGATGATTCAATTTCCACTACAAACGATGACAACGAATATCCATGGTCTTTTATGAATGATTAAGAGAAACAAAATTGAGTTTTAATCTCAAAATTACATGCTGGGAACTTTTCCATACCACTATGTACAAAATTCATGTGAATTCCACGAGTAATAACACACAATGAAATTTATGGTTCACATTGTCTAAATAGGGATTCACTTTCTAAAGCACGAGCAAAGAGCGAACGTAGCTCTAATACGCCGTTGTACCAGGCCCAAATGGGTCAGAATGACCCACGCAAGGGTAAGAGGTGGCTCGGCTATTTGATCGAAGTCTCGCTCATTCTGAGTGCAAATTTCTACATCGATAAATCAGACTTTTTATTGTGAGGCGCTAAGATCATTTAGGGTCATTACTTAATGGTAGGTTATTACTTAATGGTAGGTAATTACTTAACTGTAGGTTATTACTTAATACTTGTTCTCATATTGATTCAAATTCATCGAATTTCATTCATTCCTGCTTTTCCTATCCCGTGATCAACCGAATCTTGTATTGATTTTTCATAAATTTTTTATAGCAACATCGTTCGCGTATCATTTTCGTTAGCGACAAAAACTGCTGATCATCTGACTACAGTTTTCCATTATTTGAATTACATTTATAGTCACTTGAATTACTATAGTCATATTATAAGAAGAGTAGAAAAATTCGATGGAAATTCCTAATGCTGGAGGTGCTCGGAGGTGTAATTTCAACTGTAGGTGCTTGTTAAAGCCCGGCCATCTAGTAATGAACGGTAATCCGTTTTAGCGAGTTGTCTGGAAATTGCACTCGTGCTTTTCTATTGTAATTCTAGATAGAAAATTAGTGTCAGATCGATTCTCTTTTCTATAGCAATCTAGATTCAATCTGAAACCTTAATTATATTTTAAGCTTTATTATGATAAATATATAAAAATTATATTATTATATTAAAAATTATAAAAAACTCCAAACAATATTGAACAAAACAGATAAATCAATATACTATATATTTAGATTTGATAAAGTTATGTAGGAAACCTAAACTGCGTTTATCAACAGTGCACGTCTAAAGAGAAGCCAGTGCAGAAAAAGTACGTTTGTGCGAACACTTGTTTATAAGCGCCTGCCAAAGTGCGCGCGAAAATTAAACAGGGGTTTTCGGTACACACTTGCTGCACCTGCAGCAGCAACACTGCTGGCGTCAGTGGCTACAACACGTCACCTATTACAGAAAAATCAACGCCAGTAATACGCAACATCAACGCTAGTAATACGCCACATCAACGCTAGTAATACGCCACATCAACGCTAGTAATACGCCACTGCAACGTTAGCAATACGCAACATCAACGCTACCTAATTCACGACCAAATCAGCGTCCTGTGAACATAGCTGCAAGAAGCACCACTCGCATTAATTGCACCAGCCTACACCTCCTACACTAGTCTGCAATATAGCCGCGCCACTTGCTCCAGCCTGCACCACTTGCGCCAGCCTGCACCTCTTACACCAGCCTGCGCCTCTTGCACCAGCCTGCACCACTTACACCAGCCTGCACCACTCGCACCAGCCACATCAGCAGCCAACATGACTCAGTACACGCCCGGCGTTCTAGTGAAGAACGTCAAGCCCGCCCCGCGCTCCAGCCTCCGTCTCCTGCTCCTAGCGTGAGTGCCACTGTACGCCACCAGGCGGTGCCACTGACTCCCATATTAAATGATACTATAACGGCGTATCAAGTTATACTGTAATTCTGTATCAGTGATACTGCAATGGTGTGGCTTTATCTCAGAATATAGTGCTGATATTTTAATGCTGTATCAAATGATACTGTGATGTCGTATCAGATGATACTGTAATTCTGTATCAAGGTATACCGTTATGGTGTATCAAATGACAATATAATGGTGTATTAAATTTTGTGCTAACATTATTGTATAGTTGCAAACGCCGATCGTTCAACGTTACGGGTGATTCTTATTATATTTATGCTGACTCATGCATGCCAGGAAATGAAGGTTATTTTGTTTTTAATTTTACTCAGAATGATGATGCAATTGTTTAATTTTGAAGTGCTGGTAAGGATTTGCTGTATTTGTATTACTGACTCGATTACAAACAAATATTATACCTGCCGAAAGTTAAATAAATGTATAAATGTTACTGTTTGCACTCTTACAAATCATACAAACTTATTCTCGACCGAAGAAATAACCAAATGAGTACAAATTGTCATCACTCGCAATAGTTAACATTTCCGCAGTTGTCATGAATATACTACTCGTTAATTACGGTATGAACTGTGACATCCATCTAAGTTAAAGTTAATAAAAATATTGATAATTTATAGTTACGAATTTAAGATTTCAACATTGAATTTTTTGCCGTATTATATTTAGCGTGTGATGTACACGATGCTGTGGTGTGCGTTGATTACATTAGTGTGTACAGTATAGTTACATACATTAGTATGTACAGTAGTTACATTACATTAGTTTTTATTATCAAAGTGCAAATACGGTCGGTTCTTGAAGTGACAGACAAGCTGGGGCTACATGTTTGCTTGAATATTAGCGTGTTCCTGCGCACTTAATATGTTTATTTTTAGATAATGACGGTGACTTATACTTGATGGTTATACTCACGTCAGGACTGTACCATGACCTGAAGGTTGTCAGACGAAATATATATTTACCAAGTCTTGTATTTGCATTTACCAATCTTTTACTTGCCAATTCTAATATTTATAAAGTTACACGTTTAATATTGCTCGTATTTGCCAATATTCAGATAAGTGAAAGTCTGGGTGCTTAATTAAAGATTGACGCTTCACTTGACTATAAACCGGCTGCTCGATGGCTTATTCACAATATACTTGCAGTGCTGGGATCGAATTTCAGTAGACCTGAAATTTAGTTCTTACACTCGGCGAAATGAATAGGTCATATTGTCCAAATAGTGACACACTTCCTGCATGTAGGCCGATATTGCACGTTCATGGGTTTTAATGTATGTCGGAAACCCGTCAATAATTCTCGATGATATTTAAAAGTCAAGATTCACAAACTTTCGTTTATATTTTTCCATTTAGGGCCTTCTAAGTTATTGGCAAACTGCCCGCTTGTTTGTTTGTGTACATTCCATCTGATCGATTCTCTGCCCTTGACTACGTATGGCTGTGGGCCCTCACCCTTGGCGCTGTTATATAGCTTCCATTTGTCCATCTAATTTTTATTGCTATCACTTGTCGCTGTTGTTGTTCTTTTCGCTGTTCTCTATTTCGGTGTTGCTATCTCACTTAGCACTGTTGCTATTTTCATTTTCGTTGTTGCTATCTCACTTTTCGTTGTTTCTGTCTCACTTTACGCTGTTGCTATCTCTCTTCTCGCTGTTGCTGTCGCACTTTTCGCTGTTGCTATCTCACTTTTCGTTGTTTCTGTCTCACTTTATGTTGCTATCTCACTTTTCGTTGTTTCTGTCTCACTTTACGCTGTTGCTATCTCTCTTCTCGCTGTTGCTGTCACACTTTTCGCTGTTGCTGTCTTCCTTTTCGTTTTTTCCATCCGTTTTTTGCTATGCCAACATTTGTCGTTACTGCTGTTAATTCATAATTAGCTTATATTAAAGCAAAATACTTTACTACTTTTAACGCATGTTTTTACAACTGTTTTTTTTTTCAGGTTACTGCTGTTGGCATTACTGTTGCTGCTGTTAACGCCTGTTGTGCTGTTGGTTGAAACGTCGCTGTTCACATCGCGCGCCGACATGTCTGACGAAAAATCCCTCGACCTCGCGACCAGCCTTAGTGCTTTCACCCTCGACATGTACAAGGTTAGTAGCCTTCTTTATTCAAATTTTAAATCCTTATAATGCTATCAGAAAATTGTTTACAGCTGATGAGTTTTACGTAAAAATTTTAGAATTTTTTAACACGGCTACATTTTTAGTTATCATGGAACTTGTGATCTTACGTCTTGAGACTTGACCATGAGTCGTTGACTCATTCTGAGAAATATTTATACGCAATTACTACGCATGCATGTTTTGTCGGCGAAGATTTCCTTCAGTAGATAGAGATTTAAACGCAATAATTATATTACCCAGGTTTTGTCGGAGAAAGCTCCAGAGAAAAACCTGTTCTTCTCACCACTAAGCGTGATGACAGCCCTCAGTATGACCCTCATGGGCGCTAAACAAGCGTCGCGCGATCAGCTCGCGGTTGCCCTCAAGCTTCACCCTCACTCCAACGATGCTGTTAAAACTGCCTTCGCTGCCGCCCTTGATGCCTTCAATAAAATGCCTGTACGTCGGGGTTTTTTATTGTATTATTATTGAATTTTCATTGTATTTTCAATTTAAATTGCTTATTGTATATATATTTTATACTGAATTTATAATGTACCTTCAACAAAATGCCTGTACGATGGTGGTTTTTAACTGTATTATTAATTAATTTATATCGTATTTTCAATTGATATTGTATTTCAATTTTATATTGAATTTATAATGTACATATCTTCACGAGAATGCATGTATGTTGCATGCTTAGTACTGCCGTGCAGAACAAATATTGTTGTAGTTTGGCAGAAGATTTTCTTTAATGCAGGTTTCATTGTCAATAAGAGGTGCTCTCTGGTCTTCAATGAAACCTGCATTAAACAAATATTGTGTACACTGTTCGGGAAAACATAATTAGACTGTTTGAAATGTAACGATGTTGCGCTTTTCTTTCAAGTTAGAATATGAAATCTGCACGATACTTGGAAAGCACGATAACATGATTTAGTTTCACGGGTGGGCCGCCACTATAGAACGCTGGTAAGATCGTTTAACACCGTTATTATAATCAATAATACGAACGAATAACTATTATGTTTTGTTATTTCGAACAGTTTAAGAGACGCATTTTACGCCATGTCACTGTCCAATATGATGCTAATGTGGCATGGCGATACTCATTAATTGCTGTATGTATGTATGATGTATGTATCAATGTATGGCTTTGCCCTAACAAAATTTAAATGCTAACCAGACTCTGCAACAGGGACCGCCCGGGACTCTGGAGCACGTAAATCAGCCGCTAATTTCCGTTTCGAACATTTGACGCAATATATATACAACTTCCTTTCTTGAATTTGGCTTTTTAGTTCCATTTTTTACTTTAAAGGAAGTAAAAAGTAGAATCATATTCACTTCTGTACTGAAACCGGCTCGTATTTTTTGCTTTCAATTTACAATGACAATGAAGTTTATTTTGCCTACAGGAAGGTCAGGTGCAAATATTTAGACTTTAATATGCGATGAAAATGAAGCTTACGATGACAATGAAGTGTATATTTACCGCAGGAAGGCGTGCAGAAGCTGTACGAACTTCATGTCGCCAACAATATGTACGTCTCGCACAAGCTAGACCTCCAGCAGGAGTTTTCCGATGCCCTGACGCAGCACTTCCAGGCCGCTGCTAAGGTAATGCCTCTTGATGTATAATTACCTTAGTAACCAGGTGCTGTATTACCTTAGTAACCAGGTGCTGTATTACCTTAGTAACCAGGTGCTGCATTACCTTAGTAACCAGGTGCTGTATTACCTTAGTCCAGGTGGTTGACTGATATGATCTCTGTCAGGTGGTTGACTGATATGATCTCTGTCAGGTGGTTGAGTGATATGATCTCTGTCAGGTGGTTGACTTCGGTGGCCAGACGGAGGCAGTGCGTCAAGAGATCAACCAGGCGGTCGAGGAAGCAACCAAGAACAAGATCAAGAACCTCATACCTGAAGGTATGGTGATGATGGTGATGATGATGTTGTTGTAGGTAATGATGAATGTCGCCAAAAAGTCCGAGGAAGTTGATATCAAGTTTCGAAAAATAAGATAAATGCACTCACTGGTATGAGTGCTGTAGAGTGTAGAGGCAAGTCATGTTGACATTCCACGACTGATCACGCTAAGAATGTGTGCATGCTGCTCTGCAAACCGCACACAAAAGACCTTGAATGTTTATTTCCAAAGACCTCGAAATCGTTAAAACAAAACGTGAATGTCTCTTTCCAAAAGACTTAAAAAAAATTTTCCAAAAAGACCTTGAACATCGCCTTCCAAAAGGCATTTTCCAATACACATTGAGCGTCATTCTCCAAAAGACCTGGAAATTTATTTTCCGAATGCCCTGAAACGTCTTCTTCCAAAAAACTTCTTGTCGCAGGCATCCTGGACGCTTTAACGCGTTTGGTGCTCGTGAATGCCGTCTACTTCAAGGGGCTCTGGACGAAGCCGTTTGACAAAGCCCGGACGCAAGACTTGCCTTTCTACACTGATGAGACTAACAGTGTCAATGTCCCCATGATGAAGGCCAAAGAGGAGTACAGATACATGATTAGGAAGGATCTCGAAGCTACCGTGCTCGGCATGGACTATCAGGTCAGTATCTTTAATATCCTTTGTATGTGTCTGAAAGTAGCAGCCCCCCAGGTCACGCTGGAGTATTCTTAGTATTCATCATAGTATTCTTCAACCCTCAGCCTCGGCAAACAGAAGTCTGGAATTGTACTTCAGTGATTCCATATTTCCGAAAAATTTGATAGCAAATGTTTTTTTTTTTTTTTTTGAAGAAAGTGCACATGATAAGCTAACTCCTGAATAACTGACTATCGCTTCACGGCTAAACTCTTTTTTTTTTTTGCGGTGAATGACATGTTGAACTACATTGTAGTGTCTGGTCCCTCATGACCACCAACTACTATAGTCACTTTGAAATTTAAACGTTAAAACCCATTAGTCACAGAATCATGTATTTAGTTTTAAATTCTATGCAACTTCTTTATTTCTACGTCAAATGATATCTTCTGAGTTACGTTTTAAATGTGAAATTCATTTAAAAGTGTTAGAATTAAATTAAATTAAAGACGCAGAATTTTTGTTTTCTATTTTTTTAAACTTGTTGCAATGGTGGCCTTAAAGCTGCAACTTGAGTCTTATGTGCTATATCCTCTCACTGAATGGTTCACACGACAGGGCGGCAACCTAAGCCTGGTTATCGTGCTACCAGACAAGCGTACGGGTCTGGCAGAGGTAGAGCGCAGGCTACAGGGGGTGGACCTACGCGAGCTCTTCGACTCGGGGCGAAAAGTTAAGGTGGAAGTGACCATCCCGCGCTTCAAGCTGGAGTACTCCGAGGATCTCGTCGCACCTCTTAAGTCGGTGAGTGATCATTATCAGTGCTAAATTAAACCTTTAAATAGTTATATTATTAAATAATAGTTATTTAAGTATCATTAATTAATTTAATAATATTTAATTATGTAATTATTATTATCTTTTTTAATCTATTTATTTTAATTATTTACTTTATAATATAATTTTTACTTCAATTATTTTTTTAATTTAATACATTTATTTATTTAATTTTTAATTATCAATATTAAATAATAGATATATTGCACCTCTGGTAGTTTACGATGTAGTAGAAATATTTCAAGCAAAGTCAGAAAGTTAAAATTCAATGTGGATGTCATCATCAAGCGTTTCAAGAACTACGAAGACTTTGTCAAACCATTCAAGTCTGCGAATGTTATTTATCAGTGAGTAATAAGTTCATTATTAGCGATTGATATGAGTTGATGATGGTCAGAGAGCGATGTTATGACCCTCCAGGAAAATGATGTCGACGCAATGTTGATTACGCAATGATTTCGTTGGAACAACGTTTAATGAACGTTATCTAACGTTAGACACAATGTTTACTGGACGTTATTTTAACGTCAGCCACAACGTTTAATGAACGTTATTTTAACGTCAGCCACTATGTTTATTGTAAAGTTTTTAACGTCAGCCACAATGTCTAATGAACGCTATTTTAACGTAAGACACAATGTTTAATGAACTTAATTTTAACGTCAGGCACAACGTTTAAGGAACGTTATTTTAACCAGGAATTTAAAAGCGCAAATTTATTTAAAAGACAATACCACAAAAATTCACCATATATTTATAGGAGGAAACGTTTCGGAGGCCAGCTCCATCGTCAGTTCATAACACAAAGTTCAGTTCAATCCTAGAAACACAAATACAATCAATTAGTAAAGTAAAATCCACTGTCAGGTATTAAAACTTGAAGCAAGTAAATGAGACATGAAATAAACGCTATATAATAAACGGCCTATCTATTTACTATTTCAATAGGAAAGGAGCTGAAAGCGGCATTCAGACTAGGCTTCTTTTTGAATATATTCAGGGATTCTAAAATTCGTAGATCAGTAACACCGGATGTGAAAGCAAGAACTTTACAATCATTATCAGATACAGAGGTGTTGCATTGCCCGGCATGAACACGTACAGCAGGAGGTGGATGTGCAAGTAGCTTCCCCGTTCTATAACACCTGCCCTTATGCTCTGACAACCTTACAGAAATTGCGTGAAGTCATACCGACGCACGCTGATGCGCACTGTGCACAACTATATCTGTAAACTAGTGACGAACGCATGCATAAGAACAGGAAGGGTATCCTTATACCTGAGAAACGAGCCGATTCTAAAATTGTTAACTAACAACACATGAAGATTTACATCCGGAAGGTATTTAGCGAATAAAACTTTTAATTCCTTTGACATAGTCTTAGATGCGGGGCCAAAGTAGGGAAAAGAACAGTTAACAACGTTCCTATTGTCACACTTGGGAACTACTCCAGTATATTGCTTGGACATAACCTTTTTAAATTGGTTAAACACCAGGTGCGATGGAAAGCCATTTTGTGAAAAGATACTGCGCAAAAATTCAAATTCAGAGTGCATGGCTAAGAAAGCTGGGCAAATGCGAAAGCTGCGATTTATCATTGTTTGGATCCCATTTAATTTTAAAAGCCAATTCTCTATAACCGATATGTTGAGGATACTTTTTTGATTTTTAAGCATCCCTCTCATGTGGGTCTTTTTTTACTATCTTAATCTCCAACATAAGTCTATCAAATTCACCATAGAGCTTGAATCAAACAATAGTTTTTCTTTAATTGAGTGCAAAGTTACCAAAGCTAATGGCAGTTTCCAAACTTATGTGTTTATAAAATCAACATTTACGGGCTTAAGCACCAGCATTTTTAGCTTCTGTTCTTTTCGTTTCAAATTAAATGGGAACCAAGCAATGATAAACAGGGATTTCATTGATATCAATGATGATATCATTGATATAGAATTGCGTGACGTCATACCGCCAACTTAATGATATCATTGATATCATCAGGGATATCATAAGATATAAATTAGCATTTGCTATAGGTATTGTCTTTGCTTTTAAATTCCTGGTTAACTTGCGATTTAAGCAAGCAAGTGATTTTAATACGTCATTTTAACGTCAGACACAACGTTTAATGAACGTTATTTTAACGTCAGCCACAACGTTTAATGAACGACATTTTAACGTCCGACACAACGTTTAATGAATGTTATTTTAACGTCAGACACAACGTTTGATGAACGTTATTTTTACGTCCGACACAACGTTTAATGAACGTTATTTTAACGTCAGACACAACGTTTGGTGTGAGCGACATGTTCTTGACATTATGTCCTACGGTAGTTGGGTGTGAGCGACATGTTCTTGACATTATGTCCTACGGTAGTTGGGTGTGAGCAACATGTTCGGGTCTTCAGCGGATCTGAGCGGCATAGGAGGGCTGCCCGGCGACCTCTACGTCTCCAATGTGCTGCACAAAGCCTTCATCGACGTCAACGAGGAGGGCAGTGAAGCCGCCGCTGCCACGGGTGAGTGCACCGCATTTTTTAGTGTACAGGGCCCATCATACTTTAAAAAAAAAGTTAAGAGATCATAAGTTCATGAGCCAATCATTGACGGCCTTTCAAGCCAAATCCACTAATCACAGACAAGAAAATAGAGCGTAAGTACTTACGTTCACTTAGCGAGTAGCGAGTTTTGAAAGTATGGGCCCAGTTATGTTTTTAATAACTTAGGCCGTACTATCAAAACTCGCATAGGTAGACGTTGCAGCCTAATATTGGTATAGTTGGACAAAAGCTGTTCTTCAATACAAGTTCCGTTGAAGTCCAAAGTCTTCAATAAAACTTGTATTTAAGGTTGCTCCCCAAGTACACGTAGATGTAGATTTATAGAATGTGATTATTGGGTTTAGCTTGAGAAGCAGTCAGTGATTGGCTAACGGAGTTACGAGCTCGCAAATAGTTTTGATAGTACGGCCCTAGTTCCCAGTTCGTTTTTAATATCCTGAACAACTTCAAGATTCTAGGTATGATATGCATTTAATTTGGTAATGGTCTTCAGGGTCAGACTGGTCACTTAAATGTGTGTGATTTTTAATTTTTGCGTATATTCTGCGTGTGAGCTTAACACCCTGAGCTTTCACTGCGAGTTAATTGTATGAAATATCAAATTTTTGGGCTACGTAAACTTCGGTGATAATCTTTGGTTTTTATGTTACTTATATTTTTTTAATTTAACTGAGATTTACTGTTTCCATTTATGACGAATTGGTGCCTGTTGGCTTTTTTGTGATCATATGCAGAAGTGTTCCACTTTGCGATAAAAACACTTAATTCTTTCATGATTTAAAAATTATCCCTTTGTTGTTCTCTTTGTTATTCTATTCAAGCTCTGCGAAATTGGCAAATGCAAACCTTCACAATATTTGATCAGACTAAGACTGCCTTCATTCATGTAAAACGAAGAAATATTCGAATAAAGTTTGAATGATATAATTCCCATGTAATCAATTTCGTTTTATGGCGTCTAAAAAGTGTCATTAGGGGCAGTTTTTGGTTAATGGAGTCTGAATATTCTATTAAAAAGTTTATACGTTGTCAATGGTTAACGCCAGCGTAAAGGTAAGTAAGTAAAAAATTATAGCATTTTTTCTAGGATTTAACAATTGTAAGTAGATAAAATAATGAGATCCTTATTGTGAATACTGAATTGGTTCAATGTAATTATTCTTATCGGAATCACTACTAATAGTTTGAAATATTTTTTTTGAAAATGGGCGCTATGATTGCAAATAATATTGCGTTCTCATCGAGCGGTAACTGAACTAAATTGAGATTCGCGACAAAAATGACAAAAGTTCCAGGAAATGTATCATCAGTGAGATATGATAATGAAGCTTAGTGTTAGCAGTTGCTATCAAGCAGATCCAGTATGAGATATTATATTCGAGAAGTCTTAGATTCATTAGATTCAACTTAATTAAATTTAATAGTGAAGCTTGAGAAGCTCGCGTGTAGGAAAAAAAATGCTATCAAACTGATAAATATCCCAATTAGTTACTCTACAGCAGCGAAATATCCCTAGTAGTTACTCTAAAGCAGCTAAATATCCCTGCTAGTTACTCTAGAGCAGCGAAATATCCCTAGTAGTTACTCTAAAGCAGCAAAATATCCCTAGTAGTTACTCTAAAGCAGCAAAATATCCCTAGTAGTTACTCTAAAGCAGCAAAATATCCCTAGTAGTTACTATAGAGCAGCGAAATAACCCTAGTAGTGACTCTAAAGCAGCGAAATATCATTAGCAGTTTCTCTGCAGCAGCGAAATATCCCTAGTAGTTTCTCTGCAGCAGCGAAATATCCCTAGTAGTTACTCTGCAGCAGTAAAATATCCCTAGTAGTTACTCTGCAGCAGTGAAATATCCCTAGTAGTTTCTCTGCAGCAGTGAAATATCCCTAGTAGTTACTCTGCAGCAGTGAAATATCCCTAGTAGTTACTCTGCAGCAGTTAAATATCCCTAGTAGTTACTCTAAATTAAGCAGCGAAATATCCCTAGTAGTTACTCTAAAGCAGCGAAATATCCCTAGTAGTTACTCTGCAGCAGCGAAATATCCCTAGTAGTTACTCTGCAGCAGCGAAATATCCCTAGTAGTTACTCTGCAGCAGCGAAATATCCCTAGTAGTTACTTTACAGCAGTGAAATTGCCTACTTGAATTTGAGCTAACAATGTAAATTTTCATGATGCATATCAGGGCATAATGAACGAAGTAGCCAAAATATCTTTCTTGAGGAAAGAGATGAATGCAAACAGATAATCGATCCTGATCCTACGATGAGGATCAATGACCATCAAGATCGATGTTTGTTAACATCCAGATTTTTTTCGCAGGTTCATAACTAACTATATAAAATCAATTTAGAAGATGGAAGATGAGCTAATTAGAATGCGAGTGAAATCTGATATAAATAATACTGAAAAAATCTTAGAAATCTTATTAAAACAATATACCGACCTGCTGTTTGCATGTGTGGGGAATTATTTGCAACTGCATTCTAAAGACTTTCACTTCCTAAAGTTTTCGATGTGCGTTTCCGATGTTTTAAATTCAAAGACTACGCGTGTTTTCAAAGCCCTATTACAAAAATATCATTTGCAATTTAGATGTGTCACCAACGTAGATTTGTAGCTATCGAAATTAAGATAAGTGTCTTACTTACGGAGCCGAAGTGCGCACGTTTTGAAATTTTTAGAACTGTTGGCTTGTATTCAGATCAAATTAAACTCGCTAAAAAAGTAACATGTAGAAACCCACCAGACAGCAAATAACATTTTTCGAGCTTTTATCTAATTTTCACTTTTGATTGCGGAACAATCCAAGTTGGACCCTGAACCGACCCCTCCGAAATTCAAGTAATTCACATCCTGCCAAATGTATGTGATGCATTTGCATATTTAACTTAAATTATTAAACAACGCATTCTATGTCGCTATTCCATAACAGTGGAACATCGGATTCTCAACGTAAAAAAAATCATAATTTTACAGAACTTCATATTTAAATGCTCCGCTATTATTGTTAACGGACTGTGGCGACTGCTTCTCGAGCTTGAAGCTAGAGATGGTGACGACCATATTGACTTTTAACTGTCCTCATTTTCATAAAATAGGTTTAATGAATATAGTGAACTACCTCTTAATTTCACTCGCCGATAACAGCCGTCGTCATGAGACTAAAGTGTGCGCGTCCAATGGCCACACCCACGTTTACTGCCGATCACCCATTCTTCTTCCTGTTGGGGGAGAAGCAAAAGTCGGGGGCCGTTCTCTTCTGTGGGCGCCTTTTGCGACCATAAGTGCCAGCCCAGTTGTACTCTGTGTCGAGGTACCTACTCCCCGAGTCTGTTGGAATATTTCTGTTGAAAATTGTGGTTATCACGATATTATTGGCTCAGTATGATTTCAAATGGGTTCACGTTGAAACTAGTTGACGTTGAGATTAGTTCACGTTGAGATTGCTTCATGTTGATATTGCTTTATGTTGAGATTGCTTCATGTGGAGATTGCCATGCTTTGAACTGGCAATCAAAGATCACATAACACGGTTAAAAATGGCAGTCGCTCAACCCGCATGCCGATGTGACATCTGTGAACTGCCTACAACTTAGAGCATTGATGCAGAGAATTTTTTGTTGCATGCGGTACGGTTTGATATTAGTACATTATTTCTATCGCTCACTTGCCTCGATTCTGCATGTTATGGAATCGATAATGGGTACGTATAATAGATGCATGGGGACTGCCTCTCTGACTCCAGTGTTTAAAACTTCTTTGCATTTACATTATAATACGAATCGTATTAAAGCTTGTGGTTTTGTCTTGTTCTTGCCAAATTCGTCTCGTTTGTTGATTATTAATCATTCTTCTAGATTGTTTATTGCAAAACTCAATTTTGTCGTGAAACTTTGGTTTAGAAGGAATCACGAGTTGAATGTAAACTTATGTTGTGTTACTGTATATTGAAGTTGAATCGAAGTACTCAAATTTATTCAGATCCAAAGAATCCACGCAAAAACCAATTGTTTTACAGGCTCAAAATCACGGGAACGTATTTTTATAATTTCTCATGCTTCTTGAGAAGAGTTTTTTTATGACTGCATCAAATTGACGGACAGCGTGACACACTTTCTTGCACTGCTCCATGGTAATGGATCGAATGATGGATCCATCCTGGTTCCATCATGAGTTCCTTCCTGGACGTGGTGCTGGTAAGACATGCGTCGCTCCGCGTGAATTTATTGCCGCGGGCCTGATTTTACGTCGGTTCTTGAGTTTGAGCTGTTAGTGCTATCCTCAAATCTGAGCTCACGTGTTATGAATCCAGTGAAGTGATCGTGGTTATAGATCAGGGAACTCATTAAGCCACTAAAAGTGTGGAAGTCAGTTGGAAGTGTTCAGGCCAGACTAATACTTCCAAATTTCGTAAATGTTGTAATTTTTGGAAAAAATATATTCGGATTTGCTAGATTAAATTTAACTCAGTAATCAAAATTCAAGTTGAAAATCAAAACAGTCTTTCCTCGGTAAAGAAGTGAATCAGCGGTATTAAAGTGTGATAGGCACAAATAATTAGATATTTAAAGAAAATACAGTGAATGCATTGGAGACTCAAGTGTGCAGGAAGTGTGCATTCGAGCCCAGGCCTCAACTAAATTTTATTACTCTTATCCGGTCGCAGACCGCCGCCAACCGCCGCCAAATTCCTTACGCTGGAACCCTCTACGCTATAGTGTAGCTACGGCAAGACTACCTATAAATAGTAAAATTTTTCGAACTAACTATCCATTGAAATAGTGAATCTTGAGAAACAGAATTAGTGCAACTAGATAAACAAATTAGAAAAAAATACGGCAATATGGCGAAATGTGTTGTGATTGAGCCCACTAAGGGAAGTTCATGTCCAATCTGCCGTAAATCTTGCAGAGCACCATTAGCCGTTAAATGCAACAAATGCCGTTCGTTTATACACC